GTTTTTGACGCCGCCACCGCAGTTTGTCCTTCATGAGCCTTCGAAGACAAGGCTGCCTGTAGTGGCGACCCGCGACCATGGAGATATAAACAGCTTTTTATAAGATAAAAATAATAAAACAAGGTCTTTGTCTGCAATGATTAGACATGTTTTTTATTATTGTCATTAGTGATCATCTCAATTTCGGCCAAAAGAATTGACAAAATCCTACACACTGTGCCTTTTAAATATTAGGTTTGATTTGTTTTGAGATTCAGAATTATAAATATAAAAACAGTTTTTTTTTAAAAGTGAATTAACTTTATCCATGTTAACAGCAGAAGCAGAAGAGTTTTACATGGTCAATCTGATCAATCACGTCTTTCCCAAACTCCTCCCTTAAAAGTCAAACAGACCAATCATGTCTTTCATGAACACCTCCTACATCCAGGAACCTCCCACTGCAGAGACCCACTTCTTGGTTTGACCCAAAGCTCACCACATACTGACATGGCACACATACATAATATTTAACGTTGCCGTTGCAGTTCTGGATGGTTGTACAGTTGACAAGAAACATTTTGAAAAAATACTGTTGTGTTCTGCTGAGGTTGAAAAGGCAGATTGCTTACTGTGGAGCATTAGCTGAATGTTGTCATAACTGAAAGAGGACTTGTTATAGTATCCTGAATAAAATGTCAATTAAAGGTGAAGAGTCAGTGTCTTCAGAGCAGGGTTCGACAAATCCTATTGCCCGACTGCCCGGGGCAGGTAAAACCCATTGTCGGGTAGGTGGGTGTGTCCCAGTGCCTGCCCAACCGGGCAGGAAAACAATTTCTTTTATTTTTTATTGGGCCATTTATTCAAAATATTCTGAAAATAAATGAAGAAATATGGCGTTTTAAAACACGTAAAGAGAGAATAAATCGTCAAAATTTCCCCCTCCCGCTTTAGAAAAGTTGCATCTTGCCGTCGTGTTGCAGGATCACTTCCTCCCTCCTTCCTGCTGCACGTCGCGCAGAGAGAAGGTTTAACAACCGTAGCTTTTTTCACACCCGTGTTTTTGGAGGAAACAAATGTTTTTTATGTATTGTTACCCGCAGAGATTTAAAAAATATGTGGACGTTCGTTCAGTCATAAATCCATCTTGCTAATGTCGGCTTCTGCTCTGATGAAGATGATGAGGATGAGAGCGCAGCAGCAGCGGGTCAGAAGCTCATTGTATGGCAGGCCYATCTATCATTTATTTGGCTTCACCACACTTARATTCTAGTTATCTGAAATTGTTTTGTGACTAAATTAGACATATTAGTTATTTAGGATAAAATAATAAAATGTTTTCTATTATTATTTTATTTTATTTACCTTTTTTTTAAATTTGGAGAACTTTCCAGCTTGAGATTGTTTGTTTGTTGAAGTTGATTTTTGAAAATAAGGGGCAAATATGATAAAAAGTTTTTTTACTTCACTCTGCACCCTTTTACGTCAGAGTATTTTTTTAATGTTGTTCATAGATGATTTTGTTTTTATGAATGAAAGAAAGAAACAAATAAATAGACATATCTTAATATATTTTGACAATTCAAAATATCTATTTAAGATATCTCTAATTATATTCCGACTAGTATAAATAACATTAGATTTATCGTCATGAGGGTCCAGTTCAAGATATCTTAAATGTATCTTTGGATATGAGATACACTATATAAGATTTAATTAATGCAAATTTCAGACTTTTTCATGTTCTGTAAATTGTATTTAAAACAAAGCTGCTGCTGTTGATCATTCAGTTTTCATAAACCTCACCCCCAAGACCAATACCCTAGGGAAACACTTTTTTGAAGATGTTCTCGATAATACAGTTGACTGTTCGTAACTCAGTCTAAAATGTTTGCATCTGTTTAATCAGATGTCATATATTATATACCTCTGTATAACCATGTTAATGTTTTTGTAGTACAAAGTACAGTACACGTTTTTTCTAATTTATCAAAATTTGAACATTTTTGTTTCGGGCAGGTAACTTTTCATGTCGAGCAGGTAAAGAAATAAAATCTTGTCGAACCCTGCTTCAGGGATTGAAATATTGATCAACAGTGTTCAATAAAGTAAAATCCTAAACTGTATATACACATTAGAGACAAACTCCTTGATTCAAAATGCTTTATTGATTTATGAGGGGCTTGGGTGCTGACGTGCAACATTTATTGACGAGGTAAATAAGAAAATGACAGTAATCTTACAGTTCTGAAAGCAAATAATCGCAGCTCTCGAGCTGTTGCTGTTCCAGCTTGCCCTCGTGGCTCAAAGTAAAGAACCGTGAGCTTTATTGACATGGAATAACAGCCCACTCATATTAACATGTTTACAGTTTTGCTGTGATCCAAATGCTTATCATTTACACCGTCTTACAGCGAGCGCAGCAGCGCATTTGTAGCTTCTTTGTGTGAATTGCCACGATTATGTGGAGTCAATAATCCGAAGTGCAACAGTCGCCTCTGCAGCAGCTGGAACGTGTTGCTGTGATGCCTTATTAGGTCTCGTCATTAAAGAGAAATGTTGTTTTTGATGTGAGCAGAGACCTCAAAAATATATTCTATTTATTTAGCATAGAACTGGTTTATTTTCAAAGCTGCATGTTGAAACTTTATTACCATAAGTTTAATGTTGTTTTTAAATTTAATGACTACTAGTGTTTTATTTTTTTCAACAGCCATATGTGCCTCGTTTTTATTGTATTATTATGTAATATGTTGTAAAATTGTAATAACTGTACTTTAATGGGAAATTTTCTATGAACATTGTTTTATTTTGGTACTGTGTTTATTTATGCAACATTTATTGCTGTTAATCTAATTATTTTTATTATGCCTTTTCCCCTCTCCTTTAACTTGTCTGGTTGTCTCGTGGTGCTTCGATCTGAAGAATACACTGTAAGTACTCACAGAGTGATTCACTATCACTCTAGTAGTTTTTTAAAGTTAAAATAAGCTCTGAATGTCTTACTGATTGTATTATAGAAGACTTTATGGCAATATGGTGCAAATTAATCGTTTCATGATTCTTTATTCATTATTCATTCTTTAATGAGGTCACTTTGTCTTCACTTCAAAAACCTGATGATTCAGAAGATGCCAAATTATAACAAACATAAACAATCCCATATTTAGACCTTAATTTACCTCTCCTTTTTGAAGCCGTAAAGTCTATTTGCTGCAGTAGAATATGCAGCCTTTTGCCATTTAAACAACAGCAACAGTTTTCTTCCAGTAATAAATACCAAGGCTTTGCAGCGTATTCTCTTTCTTCAGTGATCTTAACACCTTATAACGTACATGTAGAGGAAAAACAAAGGTACTCACCATGCTTTGCCATTAACCCACATTAAACAAACCGACACATCTAAAACACACTTGCATGTTGTTGAGCTTATCTATAAGGCTGCTGGAGTGCAGAGTGAGAAATATGAACAGCATGAGTCATGCTGTTTTTGTGTGTGGCTTTATCCAGGAAAGACGGAGAAGCCTTGACAGCAGCAAAATGTTTGACATTCTTGTGTTGCTTCATGTGTAGGAGCATTTTGTATTCACAAAAGTCAATGTGCTGTAAATACACCCATACCAGAGTAATACTTAGAGGCAACAGACAAAAAAAGTCCTAAATATGTTTTGTCTTTTGTCATTTTTGACAGCTTGATCAGTAGAGCTGACACACACACACACACACACACACACACACACACACACACACACAC